ACTTAACTGTTTATTTAGTGTCACCCTGTATTACCATCACTAGCACTTTCCTCGGAACAGGAGGAGCTGGAGGCTTTCACCTCCAAAAAGGAAATTCTTCTTAGCTTAGACAGATCCAGCATCCAGGATGTACATTAGTGCAAAAGAAAAAAAAGGGGGCGGGGGGCTTTGACTGCGAACTCAAGAGGAAAAAAGGCGAAGGGAGGAAGTAAAGAAATACACATACACATTTTGTCAGCCTGGCTAAAGAAGAAAACGCGTGATCACCTCTAATCCTTTGAAAAATGCCCCGGTAACTATACAAAGAAAGAGCCCTTTGTATGTCATTATTATCTTATGTGAATCATGTCCAACGCTGGCTTTTAGGGTGTAGGGGCACTTGAGATAGGCCCTCCCCTCGTTCAGTCTAACATCCCTTAGCTGCTAGGCAGGTCTGTTCTTTGGAGTTCCCAGCCGGGAAAGTTTCCGTCTTCCCCAAAACTTTGCGTTTTCAGTCTCTGGGCAGTTCGGAGCCAAGCATTCAGGACCAAGGCGGGCCCAGCAGAATGATGGTTCCCTTCGTTTTTGTTGTCCACAAAACAACCCAGTCCCCCCTCCTGCCCGCACCCGGAGGGGAGGCACAGTTGTCATTCAGCAGCATACATCTGCACACCCCTCCGAGGGAGGAGAATCCCAAACTGCCCCCTTTCCACCCTGCCAACTCCTGCAAACCTTCTTCCCCCAAACTGCCCCTGATTGTTTTTCCTTGTGCTTGGGCTCTAATACCACGAAACCATCCAGGACAAAAGGGAGCCGATATTTTCAGGAGATAGACAAACCGGACGGATTTAAGGAGACGCTCCCTCCCTGCCTGGCCCTTCCCAAGATGCCTGCTGACACCAACTTTGTTTTTACAGGTGTCTTGGGGCAATTACGAACAAGTAATTAAAGGTTCTATTGGTTTCCAGGCATCTTGGGCCATAGGCTTCTATAGATAACAGCAAATAATATGGAAAGAGTTCTGTCCTTTTTGGGGTTTTTTTTTTATAAAGAAAATACAAATCCTTATTGTTTAGAAATAAGCCAAGGAAACTGGCTGTCTCCCCTGTGCCTTGCAGCTGGGAAGGAGGGCTGCAGAGATCCGGTATCACGTTGCAGATTCTCACTAAAGATAACGAAATGTGATCTATTTTTCAGAACAGCAAGTGGATGGGAAAGCAACCCTTTACAACACAAAACTCATTTGCTAATGGCCTGGTTTTGTATTTCCCCATCTCAAGGTTCGGAAATCGCCCGCGTTGTGTTACTGCACTTCCAGTTCGCCCATTCTAAAGAGCATATTTTATTCTCACTAGTAGACTGGCTCCTCCAAATTTTGCGGCCGCCCTTGTTTGTTGTCACTGTTTTAATCTTTATGGTGTTGGGACTGGACTGACCTGGGAGGTTTCTCATCAGATGAAGAACACAACCGCAGATGTGCATCATATCCGCGGTCATTTTAATTTTGCACTAATAAATTGTCTGAACAAATCCATAAATAAAAAAGTTTTCTAAACTCTTCCCCAAACGCTGATACACTTGGCAAAGTTGCGTTCGATCTTCTTAATTTTAAAACATATTCGATTAGCCCGGTGGATAGCTATAAGCATACTTATCTTATTATATAAGAGCACAAAATAATGGCCTGTTTTATATTAAATCTGTAAGCACATTTGATTTAAGGCCTTATGAAAATGTCCCTTTATCACATATCTAGGCTTTTAAGAAAAAATACTGTAGTCAAAGGCATATTCAACTATCCATTACAATTATTTTTAAACAAAATATTTTGATAAACATTACCTACATTTTTTCCGAGAGAAAATCAGGGCAATGAACTCAGATTTAAAATGGTGCTTATTTTCTTTCTACAGAGGGAAAAATATCTATGGAGCCTGCAATCGGTTTTGTTGTTATTTGGTTATTGACATCAAATGATTTTGCTGGAACAATAAAACCCAGTCTGTGTGCTTTTAAAAGGAGAAATCGGTTAGTGTGGTTTGTAAATTCATGTCATTTTACCTCTTTCAGTGGTTTACAGGGAAAGCATAACATTTTAGGAAAACCAGTTCGGGCCAATAATTAACATTCATAATAAATGGTTCTCTTATGTAGGATGGAGTAGATACTACCCGCGTGAACAAGGCACACGCCCCTTCGGTACTGGATTTCTGATTACACTGAAGAATAACCATTTTGGAGTAGGAAAGGAAGGGTTCCGACGATGCACAAGTTCTTGTCAAGTTCTTGTCAATTTCACTTCATCCACTGGCTTATTCTAAAATAGTGTTTATTTGGCCGGACTTTTAAAGATACACAACAAACCAGGTATAAATATCTGTCTTTCTGCTTACGAATTAGTCCTTTAGGTCAATTTGTCAGCTCAAAACACCTTGAAAATTACTATTTATTTCCTTATTTAAAATATTAGCAAAAAATCACTTAGTAAACTCGCATTTGGACGTGGAATTTCTATTCCAGGCGACAATCACTTAAAGTTGCAACCTCATATATTATAATTCTGCGCACTTGCTCTAGACTTTAGGGTATTAGTTGATTTTAGAGCTGGGTTTAAGACTCCGTTCCGGTCCCCACACAGCTGCCTTGTCAATAAGGATCTGTTCCAAGTAGAGACATTCCTTCTGGCAGGACATTGCAGCTCTTTAAGACTTCATCTGAAACATCATAAGTACTAAAATAAAATGGCAAGGGAAAATTACCAGACACATGGTCATGGTATATAGAAGTGCCATGACTCCAGTTTAGTAAGTAAAGCCATTGTACAGACTGTGGGGGCAGTGGCTTTCTTTAAACAGCTCAAATAGCCATTAAATATATTTAAAAAATAATCTAGGCGTACATAAATATCATCGTCTGCTTTCAGCCTGTTTCACTGTAGATGAGAACGCTTACTTCGGAAATGCCAAGTATATTGCGTTCACACTCGCGCGCGCAGATCTCACTATGTGCTTTTAGAGTATATATATTTTTTCTCTATAAAACCTCAGAATCAACGGTTTGTGGAAAATACGAAGGTTGCTGTTGCTGGCACTTTATCAGAGACAAATGTACCATTCCAAATGGCAAGGAAAACAGAACTATGAGCATCAATGTATACAAACAATAAAGCTGATATGCCAGTACACGCTTTTTTCTGTCAGCCTCCGCACTTAACTTTAATAGTCTAAAGTAAAAAAAAATCCAATTGTATTTCGTGAGGACAAAGGGGTTTTAAAGAGCATCGCGACTGTGATTAGCACTAAGTGAATTCATTCTTAAATCAAAAGAATTCTGAAGTGTACTTAAAATTCTGTTTTCAGCTTATCTAATCAAAGATAAATACAGTCATAAAGACACCCTCTTCCCACCATTCTGCTTTCCTTATCTCTGCTTATTGTTCTTATCGCTTACCCCGTCCCCTGCTACTGACAATAGATTATCTTTGTTTAGGGAAGCTAATTGTTTTCAAAATCTTTTTTTTAAATAATACCTGCTTATAGACAAGGTGTGCAAATGAGGATTAGGATTATTAAAGCGGCGTTTGTTCGTTCAGTTTTGCTAAATATTGCAGCGCGCACACACAAAGAAGGCGAACAGTGCAGAAGCGCCTTTCATTTCTACTAAATTTGCGACCCAAGTTCATCACTCCACCCGGAAGGCACAAGAACAAACACTGACGCTGTTTACTTATACTTCTTATACATCATCTTGTACTTAGGAGCTGGGTCCACACCTCAACTAAACAATTGTTAGAGGGATGATTTCTCTAATTCGAATTCAGATCTACTTCAGTCTAAACGCTTTATCCCTCTCCCCACCCCCCAAAAGCAGCACTTTCAGTTTTGCAGTGCCTCAGCAGCAATTCATGGCGAAGACACTTTGAATGAGGCCCTTGGACATGCCTCCCCCTCTACCCTCACACAACCACCCCCACCACCTAGCCCTCCTGTCCTCCTTTACGGCTCCCTCCTTTATTATTTATCATGCTGCATGAGCTATTCATAAAGCCGTTATTTATTCATTCCCAACATTAAGGTAATTAAATATGAGCTCACAGGGAAGGAGCAGGGCTGGAAGGGACCAGGAGGTGGCGGGGGGAGGGAGGAGGGGGACCTTTCAGCCGTTATTTATTCATTCCCAACATTAAGGTAATTAAATATGAGCTCACAGGGAAGGAGCAGGGCTGGAAGGGACCAGGAGGTGGCGGGGGGAGGGAGGAGGGGGACCTTTCTTAAGGGCTGTAATAATTGATTTGTGCAGAGATGAGCCCCCGCTCCCTTTAGGTGACACTTGAGAAGGGGCTCATATTGCAGGGCCCTGACGTGTCTCCCCTCTCGGGACGGAGCGGCTCCCCCCTCCCCGCCCCCCTTGCTCCGCTCTCACACACAGGCTCAGCCACTCAGTCATCAGACACCAACCAGCA